CTCGACCTGTGACGTGTTTTTTCCGTCGCAGAACTTCGAAAAAAGGTTTATCCGAACGATGATCTCCGATGGCGCCTTCCTTTACACGTCCGTGCAAGCATAACAGCAGCGTGTTTCGAGAACTTCCTTAAATTACATAAGAAAATAAGGAAAAGTAAAATTATATAAGAATATCGCTCCTGAAAGGCTGTCGCGATGGACGACTTATTTAATCACCGGTGAAGTATTTCTTGTCTGGGAGAATTTTTTCGAAAAAAATTGCGCGTTGTTGATATTTCGCAATTTTTTTTTTCAAGATCGCAACACGATCGAAAGCGATCGGATAGACCGTTGCGATTCTCTACGCAAGTCGGCAGGTCTCGAACTGCGAGTGTATATCGTTCGACGGAAGTTTCTCACGAACCACGCTGTGCTGCTTCTCGAGAAGACCGGTCCTCTTCGACCTGCTCATCTCTTTCGGCCACTCCTTTCGCCTTTCCACGTGTTGCTGGATGATGAGCCGACGTTCCTTCTTCCTTTTCGCATAACTCCGCGGGTTCATAGTCTGCTCGCTCGTAGGTACGAACAGGTGTCCCGTGACTCCATTCCCGCTGACTTTTTATTTCTCGATTTGCGAGCCGTTTCTAATTCCCGCCGCTACCTTAATACTCCTCGCAGAGAGCAAGATGGCGAGATAACTCCATCGCTCAGACGAAGGATCGCACGTGGCAATGCTAAATTGATTGAGAAGCGAACGGAGCGGAAGCGCCAATATCCGACAATCCGATTCGCTATTTCGTAATCATTGCGGATTTGCAATTCTTTTGTTATCCCCGCGATGTAAAGATGCGATTCGCTCTCACGCTACTTGACCGCCAGAGAAACTACACTCGCTAATTAGAAAAGCGCGCTCGCCGATGCAACTCGGCTTAATGCAGAAGTTCGCGATGTACCTAGGCACGGGCGACGACGTTGCGTAATGCTCGCGCGGGTTACATGGACACACTCGAGGCGGCTCGTTAGTTTCATCATTGCGAACGCGGCAGACATTGGCCGTACGCCTCAGATGTCCGCTACATATTGCCGTATATACGCGTATATAAGTCGTCGCTCTCGTAATTGCATGTACAAACGGCGCTCGTTCGAATCAAGTTTCCGTCCAGCCGAGCTTTCTATCCTTGCTCGCAGAACTCGCGTCGAATATTGCGAGTTTATTTTTAAATGCACCTTTATTTCTGTCGCCGCGCTCGCATACAAACCGTATCGAGTACTTATCGATCCTCTCTGAGTCACGACGAGACAATAGCGTTATCTGCAATAGTAACACAGATAGCAAGAAAAGATTGAGTAAAATACACAGCTTTTTTCGAATATTTTAGAAATGAAGCGAACTTTTTGAACAGAGAAAGCACCCGAGAGCGACAATCAAAGTTGCACTTAATGTATTCTATTATCGTAATACGGCCAATTGAAAATCGTTAACGAATGAAATACCGATTTCAATGTCATACAAATTTAATCTTGATAATTGAAAAATGGATGAAACCTTCGACGGTCCTGCACGTCGATCTCGTCGGTGGGTCCCCCCCCCCGATACTCGAAGGAACGTAAAAAGAAATACAGGCGAGAGGAGGGGGGGGGAACGTTACTCGTCGAGGCCGGGCCCCCGGGAATAATTAATATACCATAGACGCATAACGAACGACTCTGCGATGCAGTCTGTTTGTTTTCGGACGGCTCTTACCCGGCCTTAGGCTTGTCGGCCGTATCTCTGTTCAGTCAGGCCCCTCGACCTCCTGCTGTTTTTCCCTTCCTTCCCTTTTTATTTTAAACGCACGCCACACACACACGCGCGCAAGCACAGGATTGTCCCTCGAGTGCCTCTTCGAATTCTCTTTTCGGGGGCTACTGTCTTTCTTTCGGTTCGACCGTTTCACAATAGATTCCAAAGTGCACGCTTTAGAAAGATATATTTCATGTGTAACAAGATGAAACTGGATTTATTGGCAGAAACGAAACGAGAACTCGGACGAGAATTTTAAGTTGAGCATGTTCCGTCATCTCGAAAGCAAAATTCGATTTTACTTTAATAAAATTATTTCGGCCTTAAGATCGAAGAATCACGTTTTCGTCAAGACGCCGACACGCGGAAATAGTTTTCTGAATTTGTATACGACTTTTCAATCTGTGGCATGTAAAAACCGTCAATGTGGAACGCAATGAAATCATCAAGTGTCCCCTATTCTTTGTCTCGCGCTTGTCATTATTTAGCACAGAGTTGCCGGCGGCAGAAGAGAAAGAATGAGAGAGAGTGAGAGAGAGAGGAAGAGGGGTACGCGCGCCGGCGCACAGTGGGGCCAAACGACATTTCGTGTTTCAAAAAAGGCTACAGTCTCGAAATGTTAACCAATTTCGATGTCTTTTTTTTAAATGAAAGCTAACAAAATTTGCAATAACTTTGTGGAGGTAGATTTTTGTTTTTTGTTTTTTTTATTATTAAATTACACATAAAACAATTAAATTTGTAAAATATAATGACTGAACAGCAAGTAACTCTTCAACAGTAAATATTTTCTGTAACTTAACATCGGGCACTGATATAGTTGAAATTAAACATTCAAATCCTGATTTAGGAACCATAAAGTTTGACCTAACTTCACAAAATGTTACC